CATACAAATGTGTGGGGGCTATTGACCCCACTCAAAAAAATTCCTTTCATTTGAATTTTTTTCTCATTTGATTGGGTGTTATTTGTATTAATGTTTTTTAGATTTGACCACATTCATTTATATTTCATATTATTTTATTTTAAACTTGTCATCCTATATTTAATTTTTGAATTTATGCCTACTTATAAACCTCAATAAATTTAATTAATAGTTTTTTTTTTTTTTTTTATGATTGAAAGTGTTTGAGTCAGTTTATACGCACCTCAACTAATCTTTCGTCCTAAGACCTTGAAATTATCTGTTAGATAAAAACTTTCGTAACCAGTCTTATTAACAATTATGAAGACTCAAGTTTGGAAGACCATATTTAAACTAATAGTTTATGTTAAAATAAAATGTTATACTTTTTAACTTAATAACTTATTGGTCTCTTAACGTTACAATAATAGAATCAAAATCTCTCTGTTAATTAAGAAGATTAACAAGTTAAATTAAAATAATTGGGGGACAATTATTGGGACATCAAAACCCTGATTTTTTTACACAAAACTAGCTTCTGTCAAGGGATTTGGGTGTCTGCGTGTTCGGTATGTTTGTATCTAACAAACCAGGCAAAACCACGTGGTTGAATTGATAGTTGACACGTGGACAATCGATGAACCTACCCCACCCATCTCATAGTATAGTACGGTGCAAAGTACCCATCTTCAAATATTGCATGGAGATCTGAAATGACAGTTGTATGTGACAAAGCTTTGTCTTTCTTTCCTTAAATTTTCATTTTGTTTTCTTCCCTTTTAGTTTTAGGGTTTGACTTTCATGAGCTTTCAATAAAAAATTAGGGTTTTATATCCTCCATTAGTGAGGTGTCCTAGTTTGGAACCACGATTTAATGATTAAGAAATAACTTGGAATCGATTCAAGATTTAAGTTTGAATTTCGGATTCTTGAATCGATGAATCGTTTAGAATAATATTTATTTTAGAAGAAAGACACAATCACACCCAGATTTGAAACCAAAATTCAATAATAGAAGAAATAACTTGAAACCGATGCATGTGAGATTCAAGTCAGAATTTCAAATTCTTTGATCAATGAATTACTTAGAAATTGATCGTTATTTTAAAAAAAAAATGACACAAAAACACCTGGAATTGAAACCAAAATTCTATGATAAAGAAAGAACTTGAAATTGACATGAGATTTAAGTTAGAATTTCAAACTATGAATCATTTAGATTTTGGTTGTTAATTTAGAAGAAATAAGATGTTTGATTTAAAGAGGTAATATCTTTGATAGAAGATCTTATTCCATAAGAAGAAACATGAAAATGGGTTGGCATTATTATAGATTATGCTCAAACAAAATGTCACTAAGATGTTGAGGCTATTCTTTGTCTAACTAGCTAGTTGTTTTTTTATTTTTCATTCTAATTATGTGGCACATTGTATGGTTTCATCAAATTATTAATTTGTACCTTTTTAAGTTGCTTCATGGTATGAATCTATCAAGTTATTCATACAACACAATAAATTCGATCCAGTAATGAATTATAAGGGATTTCATTTACCTTACCTTAGTAATATTATCCGATGATTTAAGGATAGCCGGTTATTCAATGGCTCCAAATCCCTTTGGACTATAAACTTGAATCTCTTAATTCTAATTCGAATGAACCATAGAATTTGAAAAAATGATAGATAAGTGAGATTTCCCTACCTCATAGTATGTGAATTAATAGATTCAATACCTCTTATCCTTAATCTTCAAGCCAATAATATAATTAAATAAATATTTTGATGATTAATTATCTCTTTATACTTACTTTCTTGGTTTGGTCGGTCATAATATACATTAATTATACAAGTACTAGAAGTTTAGATGATTGATACATGAATTAAAGCACCAAATTAATACTAAAATAACATCAAAAAGTAAGTAAAAAATAATTTTAATTAGATCTTATTCTAATTATTGATACCTTGACCAAGTAACAAAGCTTTTTTTTTTTTTTTCAAAACTATTTTGTCTAACTTTTGCCAACACCTCTCTAGTTCAAGAACCATTAGAGAATCTCCAAAATAAGTAACCGATTTTTTTAATATTAATTGGTGCATATTTATAGTATACTTTCCGACACCATACTTAATTTTATACTTGTTTAATTAGTATAACCATCTAATTAATTACGCGTATAATGTCACTTTACATGGTTAATCCATGCACAAGTGAAGTGTAAAGTTTCATGTGTGAGTGTGACAACACTATTCACACAGTTTTTGATAAAATAAAACTATAGTCTATGTGAATATATTAATATGTGTACGCAGTTTAAAAGATAAAATGAGTTGGAAAATGGTAATTATATCTAAAAACTTATGTTTAAACTATATATCAAATATACCTAAATAATGGGTTGGAAATGGAGGAGATTAGATTAATTAAAAATTAAAAAGTCTTAATTATAGTAGTTGGCTAATGACATCAATTAGTTATTAAAGCTTAATTATTAGCTATAAATTACATTATTTATTCTTATCAACATTTTTATAAAAACATTTTATTTTATTTCTTGTTTCTTTTTCTTGGGTAAGGTAATGTCTTTCCACCTTTGGATATATCTAATCCCAATATTTAAAAGGCTTGTCATCCGACCATAAGGGTAGACAGTAGCAGATCCATAAATTTTTGTTAGGGTGAGCTAAAATAAAATGTAATAGCATATAATATTCATATTCTATGGTTTTAGTTAAAATTGACATAAAAGAAAAAAAATTACATATAAATATATTTTTTTTTTAAAATTTGAGGGTGGGCCATGTATACTCTAGATCCGCCCTGAGGGTAGAAGTATTTCTCCTAATTTTTATTTTGCTTTATGAGATTTTTTTTATTATGCACTATCCTATATGTTTGATGGTCCAATAAATGCTTAAAACAATATTAATAGATATGAGGTGAAGTGGGTGACTTGAGTAATTTTAAACTACATATATCACACCAAACTATATTTTATATTTAATTAATTAATTTGAGGGGCATTAATTAATTTGTAGCACACAAAAAAAAGTGTCTCACCAAAATTCATGCACACAATCCATTAGTATCAAAGACATTAATATTTGTGGAATTAATATAGTCTTAGACAGATAAAANCTAATAGATATGAGGTGAAGTGGGTGACTTGAGTAATTATAAACTACATATATCACACCAAACTATATTTTATATTTAATTAATTAATTTGAGGGGCATTAATTAATTTGTAGCACACAAAAAAAAGTGTCTCACCAAAATTCATGCACACAATCCATTAGTATCAAAGACATTAATATTTGTGGAATTAATATAGTCTTAGACAGATAATATTAATGTATTATAAGATTAAATAAATCATGGAATTATTGTAAGCACTTTCTGTTATTATTAACCCAACAAATCCCATCTTTGCAAAGATGCTCCAAGTCAACTTTTAGTCTTTCCTGAAGAATTCATGGAAGTTTCAATGCCTTTGAACCTTTGAATTTCACCATCACCACCATCCAAATCATTCCACGTGTGCATCTATATCATCAAGATCAAAAAATCAAATACAATTATTAAGTCAAATCCGTATTCTGATAAAATTATATATTTGTACTACAAATATACATACAATCAGTCAATGAAAGTATAAGATGTTAATATATATGATCTATACGCATATTGACATAATACGCCTTCATTGACTAGTTAAATCTGGATTAACACGCACATTAATATTACACATTCTCATAATGTGATTGTATATACAATATTTAGAGTTTAAAAACCCTGAAAGTGACTAATTAGAAGACTAATTCTTTGGTTAGTTAAACTTAAGATTGAAGCTTGGGAGTTAAGGTACTATAAATGAAGAGATGACATAAGTGATTGCGAAAAATAACGAGTCCAAGTAATTCCTCTTACTTTGTTAATTAGAATTGACCATGACTTTGAGTGAAAAATTAATTAAAGTCTTGCCCTGCCTTTAAAGACTATACTATAAATATATAGTAATAATTAAAATACACATTTATATTTCCAAGAAAACAGCTCAAATATTACTTGGCTTTTACTTGAAAAAGAAAAGTACAAGTTCATTACATTTTCAATCCCTTTGAATTGACCATACAAGTAATAAACATATATATATATATATATATATCCTTATTTTTTTATTTTTAAAGGATTTTTAATATTAATTTATATTCTTGATCATTTTTTTTTTTTATTCTTGTATATTTACACATTTAAATAAAGAATATTGATCTATGAAGTAATTTTTGACTTATTCTTCGATCCAATGTCCCCATATTGCATTTAGATTAAAACTTTTTCAAGAAAAATCCAAATCAAGTCTATTTCAATTATTTTATGAACCCAAGTTGTATTAACCATTCAAAGAAGTTGTTAGGTATAGATCGAATTTGAGAATCTATTTTATGTAAAACAATTTGAATTATGTATTGAAGTTGAATGAAACTTACGCGGGAAATATATCTCACGAATAATACAATTAAGAAACAATCTCAATTATTTATATACATTAATCTAATAATTAAAAAATTATATAAAAAAAAATGTAAAATTCTTGAACCTTACCCGGATAAATTTAAATTTTTTGAACTTAACTAAGCCACCCACCAAAAGGGCTCATATTATTTTTGTTTTTTGTGTTTTCGTTTCCAAAAAACAAAACAAAAAAAAAAAAGATAAAAATGACGAAGAAGCTTCATATTATTACATAGTCTTCTCCACGTGGTTGGAAAACAATCTCCTCTGTCTCTCTCTCTCTCTCTCTCTCTTCCTCTGAAGACTGAAACTCGACTTCACTTTATGTTTCTCTATATATATATATATATATGTACATTTATATTTTTATGCTTAACTACTCTCATTCAATCTAAGGACGAGGTTACCAAAGGTGGCCTTTTATTTTAGCTTCACATCAAATAAGACCAACCAAGATCACCTAAACTCTCCACCTTTTAGACCCGGAATTCGTTTGCCATTATTATCCTATCTACACTCCTCAATCAAGGTATAATGCTTACTCTTTCTTGCAAAAGCTTGTGTCCTTTCTTTTGTTTTGTGCTTGTGGTGTGTTTCTGTTCCTTGTTGAGACCTTTTGAAATGATAAATAAATGCTTTTGTTTTGTTTGGTTTGGTTTTTTTTTTTTTGCAATGTTGGTTTTTATTCTTGGTTTGTTTCTGATTACATGGTAATGGGGTGGTCTTGTTCTTGGTGTTTTTCGTTTCTGAATTTGTTTGAGTAACGGGTGTTTGAGATCCGAGGTTTTTGTTCATGGGTTTGTTTGATCATTTAAAATCTTTCATTTGAATGTTCTTAAAATTTAAAGGTTACTCCTTTGTTCTGTTCTGGTCTGGTGCTTTTCATTTTTGTGATGTTTGTTTAGTTCATGGTTGAGACTTGAGAGCTATGCAAATACATTTTTTTTGCAATGTTGGTTTTGTTTCTCTTGCTGTTTTCTGAGATGGGTTTGTTATTTTTCTTTTTGTTTCTTTTTCGTGTTTTTGTTTCTGAATTGGTTTCTGAGTAAAGGGTCTTCTTGGTTTCTTGGTTTTATTCTTGATCTTGATGATTACATGAAAATGGGATTCTTTTGTTTTTGTTTTTGTTGTTGTTTGTGTTAATGAATTGGTTGTGGGTAAAGTGTGTTTGAGATCCAATCTCTTTCATATGGGTTTGTTTGATCAAATAATCTTTCATTTTAATGTTTTATATATGAATTTTCAAAGGTTTTGCGGATCAATAGGCTTGTTTTTGTTTAATAATTGGTACATCTTTAGATTTATGTTGTTTCTTGATGGATTTACCTTATGAAAATTGATTTAGTTTTAGATAGCCGGGAAAGTTTTGTTCTCAGTATTTTTGTTTTTTTTTTTGTTTTTGGATACTAATTCCATGTATTGGTCTGTTTTTGCAGGAATCTAAAGCAGATAAGTGGAAATGGGGGTCAATATTTCCTGCCCATTTGCTGAGTACAGTGATGTTGAAACTGGCTTAGAATCAGTCATAGTAAAATCCATTAGTTTTGGAGATAAGGAAGTAAAAACTCCGGTTCGATCCATTAGTTTCAAAAGTGAAGATATGGAACCAACAATATTGAAATCCTTAGGTGCTGGAAAGATGATAAAAGAAGGATCTGTTAGCTTTAAAGAAAGCGAATTGGAGGCAATGATCTCCCTTACATCTTCCTTGACTGACAAAGAAAAGGATGAATCCATTAAGTTAATCAGAAAAAAGAGTTTCGAAATGGATAATTGTTCTCCGAGATCAGATAATTCTGTAGAGACAGTCCAGCAATTACCAGTTTTGGATCCCTGCAATCCCAAACATCAAGCCGCAATAAAATTACAGAAAGTCTACAAAAGTTTCCGAACCAGAAGGAAGCTAGCAGATTGTGCTGTTCTTGTTGAGCAAAGCTGGTGTGTATATTGTTTTACATGTCCTAAACTTGTCTTTTCACAAAATTTTATATGTTTTTACCTGATTCTAACTCAACTATTTGTGCTGTTTATAGGTGGAAGCTCTTAGATTTTGCTGAACTCAAGCGTAGTTCTATATCCTTCTTTGATATTGAGAAACATGAAACTGCCATTTCTCGGTGGTCGAGAGCAAAAAACAGAGCTGCTAAGGTAAGCTTTTGGTAGATAGATAAGTGATTTCAATAAAGATTATGATTTGCTTCCAGTGTCTAACTGTTTCTTTGATTTTTCAGGTTGGAAAAGGTTTATCAAAGAATGACAAAGCTCGAAAACTTGCTTTACAACACTGGCTCGAAGCAGTAAGTCAATTCATAAATGTGAATTTGATATGCAAATAAAGTTAATATATAACTATTATTATGTTGGCTGTTACTGATCATTCTTTATCATTCATGTTAAACAGATTGATCCAAGGCATCGTTATGGACATAATCTACACTTTTATTATGACAAATGGCTTCATAGCAAGAGTAGAGAACCTTTCTTTTACTGGTAACACTCTTTAACCAAAACCTTTTTTCTCGATAAATTAGAATTATATTTCCAGATGTCAAGAAATTAATAGTAAATATACATGTATTGATAATGCAGGCTGGATATAGGGGAAGGAAGGGAAGTAAATCTTATTGAAAAATGCCCTAGATCAAAGCTTCAGACGCAGTGTATCAAGTATCTTGGCCCGGTGAGCCTCTATTTCTTGGTCATCCTTTATCATAAGATCTAATATTTAAAACTTTACTGATAATTTGATTCCTATATACAGATGGAAAGGAAGGCCTATGAAGTTTATGTAAAGAATGGCAAATTCTATTACAAACAGACAGGAGAGATCTTGCACACATTTGATGACAGTGACGCTAAGTGGATTTTCGTCCTTAGCACATCAAAAACCTTTTATGTTGGCAAAAAGAAGAAAGGGACATTTCAGCATTCTAGTTTCTTGGCTGGAGGAGCAACAATGGCTGCTGGGAGAGTAATTGTCGAAAATGGCGAGCTTAAGGTATAGCTACAATACTAGTTTGTCGATTTCTTTTTTTCTTATTTTTTCTCTCTTTTATGTTTGGTCTCTTATGATAATTTGCTGTCTCTTCTTAACAGGCAGTTTGGCCTCACAGTGGTCACTATCGGCCTACGGAAGAAAATTTTGAGGACTTCCTTTCATTCCTTAAAGAGAACAATGTTGATATCACAAATGTCCAGGTAAGAATATAGAGGTGTAAATTCTTTTTACGATGCTATAAGTTTCCTAAATTGAGAGAAGTAAAAGAGCTCACTCTAAAATGCCAACTTTTCTTTTGTTCTCAGATGAGTCCAGTAGATGGAGAAGAAAGCTCAGATGATAAACAAAGAACCAGTATGCATAGTAGGAACCACTCCTCCGAAGAGGATTTGACTCGGGTGCTCGATGGATTAGAGACTGATGAGACCAATGTCGAAGAGTTGAATGAAGAAAAAACCGACTCAGTGGAACATATAACAACTGCTTTATCGGAACTGCCCAAGTTAGGGAGCTTCAACAATTTTAGTAGGAAGTTGGCAAGTCTTGAAATACCGAAAAGGAGTGAGTTGTTCGAGAGAGTAGAGAGTGACAACTCCAATGATGAGTCAAGTAGCAAGAAGTTATCAGCCAAGTCTCCAGTGAATCATTCACATTCTATAGTTACTCCTGAACAGAACAAAATGGATCCAAAGCAAAAGCAGTCAGACGAAGAGCAAATAGAAGCGGTTCCTCAAGAAGCGATTCTCCAAAGAATTAATTCACATAAAGGAATGAAGTCCTATCAATTGGGGAAGCAATTATCTTTTAAATGGACAACAGGAGCAGGACCGCGCATTGGCTGCGTGAGGGACTATCCCTCTGAGCTTCAATTCAGGGCTCTGGAGAAGGTAAACTTGTCTCCAAGAAGTGCCGCATATTTTAGATCTTCCTTATGCTTTTCCTCTAAAAACTTGGATGGCGTAAGCTCAAATGGGCGCTCACCGATGGGTCCTGGTGGGAAACTTGAAGCAACTGTGAGTCTACCAGTGCCTGAAAAAGAAAACTTGGTTAACAATAACAACCATTCACCATTCTAGGAGTCTTCTCCATTGAGCAGAAAATCATGACCAAATATATATTAGTTTCAAGTAGTAAATGATCAAATTCTTTTCTGTGAATAGAGAAGATGATAGGAATTCTTTTAATTCTTTTCAATTACAATCATGTACACACTTTTCTTTTTGTTCATTCTCCTTATACACTTGGAAAATTTTGAGGCTTTGATGCCCTTTCAATACAAAAGAAATGCCCATTCTTTCTGATATTGCATTTGCTTTCACTTTTGAAACCATTACACATTCAGCATTAGTCCATAGCCAGAGGACATTTACAGAAGGTTTTCGGATTAAAAATACTTGTATTATAGTGAAACGAAGTTTCATTTAATTGCATAAATTAAAAAAAGAAAAGAAAAAAAGAATTATTTTCAATCTAATAGTGTGTGACATTATTGAAGAACATCAACAACAGGAAGAATTTGTCCTTTGGGATAGAACCAATTGCATAAAATGATTTTGTATGCAACTCCAAAAATGTAATAATTAAAGTAGAAAAGATGCTGCTCCCCACAATAATTTGTATTTTTTTGCCTCCACTTTTAACTTGCCACTGAACATAGTTTAGATTTAATTTGTGAGTTAATAGTATGATACATACATTTTACATCTAGGTCGGTCCATTTTTGTTCTATAAAACTGACAGATTAATTAATATTTTTTTAAAATATTTCAACCTTGATGAATTTTTGAACACAAGCTTTGTGGGTTTGGGCTTCTATTTATTTTTGGTAGGCATTATGCGCCTTAATATTTGTGAGATTAAGCCCAAAGTTACAAGATTATATCATACCATACCATATCATCTTAAGATGTTTGAATTTGAAAATTTTCATAAAAGCTTGATATTATTATCTAAAAATAAAATAATTGCAAAAATACTAATTAAAAAATAATTGAAAATATGCAAAATTACTTTCTCATAATGGTAAGGTGAGCGATAAGAACAAAGATAGAATAATATGGCATATTCTATAGACTAGTCAAACAAAATTTAACGAAAGAAAAACAAGTTAAATACATGACATGATTTTATTTGATACGATATGATCGGAGTATCTTAAACTTTACCAACTACCCCATCAACTCTCGAACATAATCGTGTACATAATAGAAATCATACATTTGTAATAATATAACATTATACTACGAACAATGTCATCACTTTAGACAAATTATAAATCATTTTACTTTATATGAATTTATTTATGAGAAACAGGAATATCCGTGACTCTTCTTAAATAATGAATATTTTACCATATTTTGTATGTTATAGTATTTTATGTCGTGTTATGTTAAATTCATAATTATAATGTTATGTTATTATTATTATTATTATTAAATTTAAGTCAACTTGATAAGACCATAGGGTGCCAAAACGGTCATAGGTCCAATGATTTTACCAAGATTTTGCTTCAGTGACATCATAATTTTATAGTATAAAACCATACTACCCCCTATACTTTACATTATATTTCTTAGATCCATCTAATATCAATACTGACCACTTATCTCCCTTATCTTTAGTTTTTTTATTAATATATGAAAATAAATTTACTATAATTTTTAAACAAAATTCAGATTAAAATAATTTATAATATCTTATTGGAGTATTATTAGCCCAAATTATATGATTTAAAGGTGTTTTCAAGAATATTATAAGATTTTTAGTATCCACTATTTTAATCACTGTTTTCAAGAAACTGATGATGGCACACGTGGCAGGGATGTAAATGGGAAGTTTAGATACAAAGAGGGACCCAATGTAATTAAGCAAACCCCATAAAAGTATCTAAATCCTATAGCTTAACCTTATTGCCTTCAAATAATTTTCACCCATGGTGAAAGCAAAATGAATGGAGTGCAAAAAAACAGGCAAAATTTGGAAGAGCTGTCGTGAAATATAATGTAAGTTAGCTCAGTGGAGGGCAAAAAGTTTTGTACAAAATCCATATAGCTCAGTGGAGGGCAAAAAGTTGTGTACAAAATCCATACACTGTAGTTAGTGGAAGAAAACTATGAAAACAACACTATTGGTTCCCTCAGAAAGACTCAAACTTTGTATCATTCTCTCCTCATTGTAGCTCCCAACATTCAAAATTCACTCGCTTTGTATCAAAAGTTGAACCCCAACCCACTCATGCCTCCTTTTCTGTCTTCTCTTTCATGACTTTATGTGAAACCTTCAGATATTCTCTCTTTCTGGGGTGTGTGTGAGTGTTTTTCAACTTTGAACTTGCCACATTTTGCAGCTGAAATGTGTGAGTTTTGGGTGAGAGAGCTGAATTCTCAGATACCCTTCAAGCATTTTGGAGGTAAGAGGTGTAAAGATTGTTGCTTTCATGAGTTTGCTTCTGTTTTTGCTGTGATTCTGCTTCTGGGGTTTTGTTTTTGTGGGGTCTGTGATGAGTTAGCTATGGTTTCAGTTCCTCTTGGTTTTGAGATTTCTGGGTTTGATAAAAGTAAAACTTGGGTGTCTCAAAATGGAGTCTTTGCATTTGGTTTCTTGGATTTTAGTTCAAAAGATGGTTTTGTTGATGGATATGGTGTGGGGGTAAGGTATAACTTAGGAGATAAAGTTGCAAATTTGCCTATTTGGACTGTTGGTGGAGGTCTTAGAGTGCCTGAGAACTCCACAATTAGGCTTAACATGGATGGTAGGATGGTTTTAGTTGAAAACCCTAGTGGTTTGATTGTTTGGAGTAGTAACACATCTAGTTTAGGTGTTCAAAAAGCGACTCTTTTGAACAGTGGGAACCTGGTACTAATTGGCAATGGAGAGAATGTGGTTTGGGAGAGCTTTAATAGTCCTACAAACACTCTTCTTCCTGGTCAGTCTTTCCGTTTTCCTCAAAGCCTTAGAGCCCCTTCAACAAAATCCATCACTAGTTATTATAATTTTGTGATACGCCGCTCTGGTGAGCTTGCCCTTGTGTGGGAAAACAATGTGACATACTGGAGGGCCCATTTGAGACCCTATGATGGGGTTATCAAGGAAGCAAGATTTGATTCTAGTGGTGTTTTGGTTCTACTTGATGCTAGTGATAAAACCATTTGGTCCATATCCAGTAAGGATTTTGGAGATGCTTCTGTGGTTTTGAGGCATCTTAGGATTGATTCAGATGGGAATCTGAGGATTTACTCATGGGACAATGCGGCACATGAATGGAAGATAGGGTGGCAAGCAGTCGAGAACCAATGCAATGTGTTTGGTTCTTGCGGTTTGTATAGTTTATGTGGGTACAATTCCACAGGACCTACTTGTGATTGTCTGTATGAGAATCCTTTCAGTTGGAAAAATGATTTTCCTGATGTGGATGCGCCTAGTTCTGGGTGCCAAAAAATGGTGGATTTGGGGAACTGCAAGACAAAAACCAGCATGATGGTTCAGAGGCATACTGTTCTTTATGGTCTTTATCCTCCTCGAGATGTTGATATGATGCTCAGTGAGAAAGCTTGTAAAGAGTACTGCTCCAATGACTCATCTTGCATAGCAGTAACTTCGAAGAATGATGGTTCGGGAGTTTGCACTGTCAAACGAACCAGCTTTATTAGTGGATATAGGAAACCCTCTTATCCTGCAACTTCGTTCTTGAAGGTGTGTTTGGTCCCTCAGGCAGTTTCTGCTCAAGGAGTAAATCCACATGATATGGCCAAGGCAATTCCTCTTTCACCTATAGAATTCACTGAACGTGGGGCTGACGGTAAAAGTTTTCTGGGAGCTATTGCATTGATAGTTTTTGTGACAGGGTCGGGTTTTCTGAGCATTGAGATTCTTGTGTTTTTGTTTATTTACCGGAGAAAGCAAATTAAGGCTCAAACAAGAATCCCTTTTGGAAAAGATGCTCAAATGAACCCACATTACAGTGTTCTCATCAGATTGTCCTATGAAGAGGTAGTCGAGCTGACTGCCAACTTCGGGGATCAACTTGGCCCCTCTATTTACAAAGGTATACTTCCCAACAAAGTTCCAGTCATTGCTAAGGTGCTCAATTATGTAGCAACTGAAAAGGATTTCAAAATGGCAGTTTCTACATTGGGTGCAATGCACCACCGGAATCTTGTGTCTGTAAAAGGCTTCTGTTTCGAGCCTAAGCACACAATTCTACTATATGAGTATATTCCAAATGGCTCTCTTGATAACTGGTTATTCAAAATGGAGCAGGTTCAGAACGAACAGAATTGGCAGCAGAGGCTTGACATAGCTCTTGGAGTTGCAAGAGCCCTTGCCTATTTGCACTTAGAGTGTCAGCAATGTGTTGCACATGGGAACCTGAAGCTTGAAAATGTTTTGCTTGATGAAAAGTTAGTTCCTAAATTGACAGATTTCGGGCTTAAAAGCTTACTTGGAATGGAGGCAGCTTCTTCTTCAGAGTCTCTATCAGAGAGAGATATCTACATGTTTGGAGAAATGCTACTACAAATAGTGACATGCAAGCAGGACATTGCGGACATCAATGTGCAGGATTTAGCTAACAGTATGAATAAAGAACTGAAACTGGAGGAGTCTGAAGGAGTAGAAAGAGCTGTGAGAATAGCTTTATGGTGTATGCAAAACCAACCATTTTTACGACCTTCCATTGGCGAAGTGGTTAAGGTGTTAGAAGGTACATATTCAGTAGATAGGCCCCCATCAACGTTTACTATTACACTGGATCAGGTTGAAGAATCTAAATCTTAACTGAGATTTGGAAGTAGAAGAAAGTGACTTTGATCTTCAAATAGCAATGATGTACTAACTGTGTAATTCTTCACACCTCAAGTTTTCTTTGTGATACTCTAGAAATCTTCCGGGGTTCAATATTTTTGCAGGATTGAGCCCTGGAATGATATGTAAGAAACTTTGACAATGTAGGCACTCTTCAAATCTAAATCAAAAGCTTGTTTTTCATTTGAATTGAAAACCACACAATATGAACATCCTTTTACTTTCTTCTTTAATTGCTTGTGCATTGGAATGTTGCTTCACTACGAAACATGAACATGCAAATGGAGCTTATGATTTGCCTTTAGGAATGCTTTGTGTATAAAGCTTGTGGGGAGTTCTAAAATTGCTGGGGTCAACTCGGACCACATTCAACAAATTGATATTGTAAGATGATATGAACATCTTTCAACGATTTACATGTTAGAGATAACTTTTGGGACCAAAAATCTAAGAAAAGATGTATTAATGAAGTAACTTTTGATGTATCAAAGTT